GATCACTCTGAACGAGAGCGCTCAGCCCAGGTCGTGATGAGGTCAAAATTTTGCCCCGAATCGCCAGTGAGAAACCGAAAGGTTGAGAAGGTACTAGCTAGAACGCACTGCTCAATGCACCTGCATTAGCGTTTAGCTTTCCTTTTTTTTTTAGCGAAGGTCAAAGTTGCGCTGTCGGAGTATCTTGCTCCATCTCAGTAACCGGCCACTTTAAGGCGACCATACCTATGCGGTACCAACAGCTGCTTGTACTTGTGACGTTGCAGAGGGGAACAACGATACGGTTTTCTAGGGATCGGCTCCTCACAAGTTAGCTCTATATCGTGTTCGATCACCATCGTGTCTCCGGGACGGTCCATACACACGTCTCCAATCTTGAAAACAATCTTTCTCGGGTCCTCCTTTTTGACTTCACTTAACCTAGGCTGTAGGTTCAACTGCTCCAAGATAACCTCCGATCCCCTTTCGATTACATCACTAAAACTCCAAATTTCTGCTCCCTCTTCCTCTGAAGCACTTAAAAGTAAATTTACGACTGCTTTCGAGTTACTGTGGTAAATTTTGTTCCGCCGCCTTCCTAATTTAACTTCACAATTGGTATCAGAAAGCTTCGATAATACTTTGACGGGCCCTTCCCAGTGAACCTCAAGCTTGCTCCTTTTGGACGGCTGCAGCAGCATTACCTGACTTCCTACTTCAAAAGGGCGCTTCTTCACCGATTTTTCGTAGTGCTCCTTCGACAGCACTTGTGCCGCGTTTTTGTGGCTTTCCGCTAGCGCTTTAATCGAGAGGTCCTCACGCTGCTCTCGAATGAGCGTCTCTCGATCATCCCTCGACAGCTCGCTCCAACTTTCCGCTACAGGCGAGAGCGTTGCAACCCTCTCGCTCCGACTCAATGGCGCCATGTCGTCTCCCCCCTACGCATACCGCGCTGGTTGCTTCAGCGACGGGCCGCTCGCGTGACTGCTCACATGACTCACGCGGAAAATTTCCTTTCTGGGGTTCCGTCGACCCGCCGACAAGGTCACTTGAGAGTTCACCGCATTGAACAAGATCAAGCTTCTGCGAAAGCTTCCGCGCTTGGGATCGCGTGAGGGCCATGTACGCTAAGTTGGGGAAGAACGATTTACCCTGTTCTTTGAGAAGCGGCTCTGAGTTGTTAGAGAAAAGATAAGGAAAACGATCGGGAAGCGCGGCAGACACAGCCGCTTCGGTGCGAAGCTTACCGAACGGGCCTTCAATGACAACCGTGGCGATTGGTAAGCAAACACTCTGCTCCTCGGCGACTTGCCTGATCCACGCGCATTCTCCTGTAGAGTCATCCGGAGACACCAATGAAGGATGGACAACATCCATGGTTGCCGCTGAGTCTCTAAGTGCTCGGCACGTTTTCCCATTCACCCTAATTTCTTGGAAACACCGGCTCCGACAACCGCATGTTCTTTTCCGATTCTCGGATTGTTGCAAAAGCAAACTTTTGCTTACAGTTTATCGCGATGTGCCCTTCCATTTTGCAGTTGTAGCAGATTAGTGGCTTCCGTGATTCAAACGCCCGTGTGGTATCAGTGCGTTGTTTAGGAACCTCACTCGATTTCTCCGCTTCTGTTTGCCCTTCCCCTACACTGTCCTTCATAAGAGACGGGTCCTTTTTGAAATTACGGTGCGGAGCGGGTTTCCGTTGATCAGGTTTCTTTGAAAAGCCCTCTTTCCTTTCATCCTTTTCAACGCGCACTGCCCTGCTATGCAACTTTCGGTGAGTATAATACTCCTCAGCTAGCTCTGCTGCCTTGTTTAGCTGTACTTCACCAAGTTTGTCCTGCAGCCAAAGTTTGACATCCTCCTCGATGCAGCGGTAGAATTGCTCCAATGCAACGCATTCCACCACTTTATCGTGGTCGTCATAAACACCTACGCCCTTGAGCCATTCAATTAAATCGGCTTTAAGACGAAACGCGAAGTCAACGTGTGACTAATTCCCCTTTTTAGCATACCTTTGCCTGAAAGCCTCGGGTGACAACCTATAACGTCTCAAGAGCACTTCCTTAACCTCGTCATAGCTCTCAAACACTTTCCTCGACAAGCAAGTTATCGTGTCGGACACTTCGCCGGGAAGAAGAGCTAACAGGTTCTGCGCCCAAAGAGACCACTCCAAAGCATTTCGCTCACAGGCGTGTTCAAACTTGACGAGATACTTCGCCATGTCCTCGCCTACTACGAACGGTGGCAGTTGGTCCCGAATTCTAAAACCGCTGACCTGAATCGTCAGAGAAGCTACGCTAGGCGCCTGCGAACACTGTAGGATTGCCAATTCTATTCGTTTCAACTCGAGGCGCTCCTGTCTCTCGGCCTCCTCGCGCTCGCGCCTTTCAGCTTCTTCCCGTTCGCGAGCTTCTCGCCTTTCAGCTTCTTCGCGAGCTTCTCGCCTTTCAGCTTCTTCACGAGCTGCTCGCCTTTCAGCTTCTTCACGTTCGCGAGCTTCTCGCCTTTCAGCTTCTTCACGTTCGCGAGCTTCTCGCCTTTCAGCCTCCTCGCGGCGTGCTTTGACATCCACCCAGGCCTCATCGACTTCCTCAGCCAAAACTCCTTCATCTCTCATGATCTCAAAGATCGCTTGCTTTCGCTTCGCACGGCCCAAAGTAATGCCGAGTTCCTCACAAATTTCGATGAGTTCCTTCACTTTAAGGTTCTCCATCGTTCACACTAGCCTCTTGCTGTTTGCCCCTGTTAACAATTTACTTGCGGTACCCACTATAAGTCAACTAGAAAGACGCGCAAGCAATTTTTCACACTCCCGTGTTTACCCCCTCCGCATTAACTTTGGTTTCAAAGCACTTCGACTTTGCTTGAAACGATCAAAGCTCACTTCAATGCTTCACACAGCCCTTCTCTAAACTACTACAACCTGAGCTAGAGTAGTCTGGTGAACTGAGGGGAAAACATCAGGCACTCACCGCATCGATGTCACTGACGCCGGCCGATCCCGCAGCTGCCAACCACTGTTGCGACGCGGGCCGATCCCGCCGATGCCACCACTGTTGCGACGCGCACCTCCGACGACGTTACGAAGGGCGCTACGAATCTCACCGCTGCAACCACTGTTTCGAAAGACGGCGACGCCAACACGGTCCCGAAGGCGCCACTGCTTCGAACTCCGCCGGAAAGGTCACCAGCCGTTTGGTAGCGTAGGTTTTTCAGCTCGCGACTGCTTCTGCGCAGAGCTGATAGACGAGCAGACCAGACGACGGTGAGTCAAATAAGGTTTATGTACAGCATATATACAGAGGCGTTACAAATTCGGCACTGGGTCTGACAGAGACTCGAAGAGCCGAGCTCTCCTCTCTAACACATAGGTCTGCTCTAAAATGGGTCTGCTGTCAAAGGGGTCTCTCTCGACGCGCCCCAGGGCTTCTTTTATATGCCCTGGGTCCAACCCAAAGGTCCAACCAGAAGCGCCGCTGGTCGTGAGGCCAGACTCCTCCAATGGGGTCGGCGCTGGGCCGCGTCCTTCTTTCTTATCGAATCTGGAGAGGCTGCGCTGCAGGTGGCTGCACCCAAGGACGAGTCGTCGCCGCGCATTGCGTCACCCCCCCCTCCCCCCCAGACAGGAAGACGCCGGTTGTTTACGGGCTCGCTTGCTGCGCTGACTCACAGCACGTGTGCGCCAGAAAGGCGCCGCGCGTGTTTACGCCGTTGAGTTGTTCGCGTCAGGCGGGCTGGCCTTGACACAGATTGCCTTTTTCAGAGGCACGGACGTTCGCTGTGGACTCGCAGGCATAACAGTACTCACCACTAGAACGCAATGCTTTAAGGTATAAATATAGGCAATCACAGAGTCCAGCAACCACATCAAAAAAGTTTTTCTCTTAAAATAAAAAGTGGTTTTATGACTTTCGCTGACAGTATCCAATGAAGGTTAATACTAAATGTGTTATTAGCCATAGTTTGTTACTAGGACCCCCTCAATGCTAAATTTACAACCAAACATGTACAAAAACCCACAACTTTCTAACTTTTTCACCCAAATATAAAAATTATTTTACGCTGTACACATATCGAATTACTCTTTGTTTACAAAAAGAAAACTCTCATAAGCGGCTATTACGAACCATCATATTTCACTAAATGTTATGTCTCTATGAAAAAAACCTCTAATATAGACCATATTCTTCATGCACTGAAAATTATATGATTGTTCTACACAAAAAATTTTGTACGAACCAAACTGGAGATTGAGATATTTAAATAACATTCCTGGGCCTTGACGTCCCAAAACCACGATATCATTATAAAAGACACCGTGGTAGAGGAATTTTTGCGGTGTATGTCAATCGCACTGATGCCTCAGGAGTAGCTGATGGTACAATATTAGGCCTGCACTCACATCTGGGCTTTGAAGAGAACAGACTTCAGGTTTATGAAAATCAGGTGCATGCCACGGTGCCATAATGCGCATATCATAATTTCTGCCAGGTAAAACAGCACTTCATTGCAGCTTGTTGAGTCATATATGAGTACATATATATTGTTTATTACAATGTTTGAAGCAAGGATAGCCAACATTGCAAACACACTCGACATTGCATCTATACGATGCCTGATTAGTCTTTTCTGGAGCATTTACAACCACTAGTGTGGCTATGTACACCACCTGGAATTCCAAGGTCCAAATGCAGCCGCAACTGATATTTACTGTATCTTTTCATTGAAATTTTTCACTCGTCGTAAAGCCGCTATCATTGGCAACAGGTGTACTATTGTACTGTCTCCTAATGTTTACTCAGAGATTTCCAAAGCGCATTCTTCCTGTTCCTGAGTTAACATAGGCAGTGAATCACATGTGGGTCATACCCACATCCCACAGACAGTAGTGTGCAGGTATGCACACATGTGACTGATAAAAAGAGTTTGACATCGTGTTAGACAAGTATGTCACTTTATTCATGTCATGAGGTCATGACACAGCAGTTACAATGTCACACTCACTATTTATTCTCTTCCAGGTGCTGCTTCTATGTTCTTGGGCTAGCTGTTGCCTCTCATGCCAGCGCCACTATGACTGTTCATGCCACAAGCACTTTGGGGACCTGATGTTGCAGGAATTTGTGTTACCACATCACCAGCAAATTATCAAGTGCCAACCTTTTTTGCTGCATCCTCCACTGCCAATTCTGGACAGTTCAGCGTTCAGTCCAGCAGCATGGAACAGTGACAGGTGATCAAGCAGCTCATAAGTAGACATTTGTTACTTGACATGGGCTCTCATTGATGCCCATTTCCATATTTTTCTACAGCTCTTGATAGGGTTTGTCGCTAAATATTTTACTAACGCAGCAAAACATTCCTCAGAATTGGTTCACTTGGGTTAAAGACTTTCTTTTGTGCATACTTCTGTTTACATCTGTTAATAATGCCAACTTTTCTTCTGCTTATGTGACATCTGCTGTAGTCCAAGGAAGTGTGCTCAGTGGAGACCTGTAGCCAGAGGGGTGCCCTAAGGGTTTCCCCGCCCCCATCCACAATTGCTTGTTGTGCGTTGTCCTACTGAGCATAAGTAATGAAGAACGTAAGTTATTTTTCATGGCCATTAACATGTGCTTCCCTCCCCCGAAAAATATTCCTGGCTACGGGGCTGTCTATGAGTTTATTTCTTTTTGCTCGTTTATCATTCACTTTCGTTTTACCTTGCGTTGTCTGCATGTGTACAGAATACAGGGTGCCCCCCCCCTCCCCTCCGAAAAACCTTCCTGGCTATGGGGCTGTCTCTTTATGAGCTCTTTATTTCTTCTTGCTTGTTCTTATGTTTTTATCTCGCATGGTCTGCATGTGTATGAAATACAGGGTATTTCAAGAAATGTGTCCAATATTCTTTAAAAATTAGAGAAAGGAGGTAGTAGTGAGCTAGTTGCGGCATTGCCTGTCCTGTGACAAAAGGAATCTTCAGATATGCACAAACAATAATTGTGGCAGTAATTATAATAATTAAGGCAATTAATTTTTTTACCAGTGGTAAAAAAGTACAAGTATCCACACAACCCATGGATGACCAATGGTCTTCTAAAAAGTTTAAGGAAGAAAGAAAATATGTATAAAAAAAAAGAAGCGACAGCCCTTCAATATGCCTCTTGCTAAACGATGCAAGTCCTATTGCAGTCTATTAAATACCTTGCTCAAGCAAGCGAAAAAAAGGTAATATTAAAATGAACTCGACAAGAATAAAACTAACCCCAAAAACAGTGGCAGCTGCTCAACTCATTCCTTAACAAGTCATCTGCTAATGCCCTCTAACAAAAATTGACTACAATGGATCCACCTTCTCTGAGCCCAAAGAAATCGCCAATGCCTTTTCGGAATACTTTTCTACCGTCTATACTAACCACCGCCCCCATGCGCAGTCGTATACTTCTCTGGGACGAACCACGCAGTCATTCTTCTTTTCCCAATAACACCACAGGAAGTCTTTTCCACTATTGCTAATCTTAAAAATACAGGGCCTGGAAAAAATACAGGGCCTGGGTTAGATGACATTTGTGTAAGGCATTTAAAACTGGTTGCACATTTATTTTCTGATAAGCTGTGTCATATTATCAACCTTATGTTTAAACAGGGTTTATTTCCTGCATTCTTAAAAACAGCTAAAGTAGTTCCAGTTTTTAAAAAAGGCGATAAACAAACAGTTTCCAACTACCGTTCAATTTCAATTCTTTCCTGCCTCAGCAAGCAAGTCGAAAAATTGTTTGTTGAATGTCTGAATGGATATCTAGTTAAATTTAATTTGCCTAAAGACAGCCAATTTAGTTTCCGTTTAGGTAGCTCCAAAAGTCTAGCTGTGCTGTCTCTAACTGATTACATAAAGAAAAGTATCGATTCAGGAAATTTACTGGGTTCGATTTTTTTAGATCTCACTAAAGCCTTTGACACTGTAAATCATGAAGTCTTATTGCATAAACTTCAGTCCTATGGAATAACAGGCCCTGCGCTTACATTCTTAAGAAATTATCTACTTGACCGACAGTACACAGTACACGCCGCAAATACCTTCTCTATAACAAAATATGTTAGCCAAGGAGTACCGCAGGGCTCAGTATTAGGTCCCTTGCTATTTATTTTATATATGAATGATCTTCCTGATGTTCTTAGCTCTTTTGACTGTGGTCACTGTGTTCTATACGCTTATGACACAACAATATCTTCATCTGATAAAAACATTGATGCTCTTGTTTCAAAGTTAAGTGCTCTTATGAATTGGTGCAGTAGTAATCACTTAGTTATCAACCCCACAAACACTAAATTTATGGTGTTTAAATGTGGTCAGAGGTCGTTATCTCCTAATACGTTAATACAACTTGGTATTCATTCCATTTCTGCTTCTTCTGATGTCATTTTTCTTGGCATACATTTTGACCCATGCCTTACCTTTCGCAGTCACTTTAACCATCTTAAGCAGAAGACGGCGTTTGATATCCGCGCATCAGCCCCGCCGCGGTGGTCTAGTGGCTAAGGTACTCGGCTGCTGACCCGCAGGGCGCGGGTTCGAATCTCGGCTGCGGCGGCTGCATTTCCGATGGAGGCGGAAATGTTGTAGGCCCGTGTACTCAGATTTGGGTGCACGTTAAAGAACCCCAGGAGGTCTAAATTTCCGGAGCCCTCCACTACGGCGTCTCTCATAATCATATAGTGGTTTTGGGACGTTAAACCCCACATATCAATCAATATCCGCGCATCAATCAAAGCTCGTCCTTTCTTTTCCCGTGAAGCTCTACTGGTGCTTTATTTTGCGTTCATCCATAGTCAGATTACTTACAGTGTAGTCTCATGGGGCAACACTTATGCTTGTCATTTATCATCAATACAGCACATTCAAAATCAGTCAATCCGCATTGTCACTTCTAGTTCTTCGCAATCCAATGCCTACACATCACTACGCTCTTACAATACTTGCCAGTAAATCTTTTGTTCCAGTTAAATCTTGTGACCTTATTCCACAAACTGCTGTATAATCAATCCGCATTCCCATTTATTACATCTGATCTTTTGCACAATAATAATGTGACCAAGTTTGCTGCTGATAAATATTTCCTGTTACCCCCCGCCCATACTAATTAAGGGCAAAAAAATTCTGCTTTCACTGCGATATCCTTTTGGAATGCGTTACCTTCTAGCATTAAGCGTTGCACTTCAATTCCTTTGTTCAAAAAGTCCGTCAAAAATAATTTTCTCGAATAACCTTACTTATGATCGTTTACCTGTTTGACTCGTTTGTTCTTTGTTTTTTTTTATACCATGTTACGTGTTTTGGCTTGATTTGTGATATAAAAGTGCATTTTGATGTCTGTATATTATAAAAATTTTCTGTTGCTCTGTATGAATTTTACCGTTGATTTGTATCAACAAACCAAGGGTCCCACTAAAGTCTCTGGCTCTGGGACGCTCGTCTGTATATCTTAAATTTTGTACCTTGTTTTTGAAAATAATAAAACTTGAAACTTGAAACTAGTAGCTGGTCGAGTCAAGTGGGCTAATTCAAGTTCTTTCTACGAAAAGTCTACAGCCACTTTAAATTTCTGAAAAGCAGCCACTGATAAGCAGCCTGGAGTGATGCATTCTGCCTAATTTAGCGGTTGAAACGAAAATTGATGCACCAGACAGTACACCTACCATTCATTTCGACAACGTACTTAATGACGACACTGTTTCTTTAGCCGTTATCCGCCGTCAATTTAGACACTTTGCTTTGTGCCCGCTTATCGACGCTCACTTAATTTTCTCCCCAAATGCAAGATAAACACTGTCGCCATGAAGGGTATTGTCGAATTGAATGGTACATGCACTGTTTGGTGTGTTGGTTTCGGTTTTATCACTTAACTTGAGCAGAATGCATTGCTCTGCGGTAATTACCATTCGCCGATTTTCCTAAATTTTAAACTGGCTATGGACTATTTGTAGAAAGGGGTTCAATTTGCCCATTCAATTCGACCGGCTATTACCACTGGTTAAATAGATAATTGTGTAAATTTCTATTGTTGCCACCATAATTAGTGTTTGTACCTATCTGAAGATAAGATGAAAGGTGTCAAACAATTTTTTTCAAAAGAAGTTTCTGGAATGCACTTGATAAAAGTCATTTCTGTCAAGGTAATGAAGTTATCTAACTTTAAATCATTGACTTAGTTATGTACGTCAATTCTTTGAGGGCTTTTCAAACGAGCAATATTGAATAAAGTTGCCACATTTGGGTTTCTCCAAGAACATGGTAAGTTCCAGGGACACAAATAAAATGTGTGCTGGTGGCCTGTCAACAAGCTACAAATTAAAAATAATTTAGGCACTGATGTTATAGCAGATGCACTGAAAAAATATTGTGAGGGTCACTTTGTTTGCAAAACCTCTGTATTCAGCACCAAAAACTTGCCTTGGTGGTCACACTATAATTATGCACAAAATTCATTTTAAAGGTTGATGTACAAGCTAATTATAGGTGGAATTACTAGAGAGTATAATTTTTAAATTCGAAAAATATTTTTTAATATGTATCTGCACCAGCTTTTCGCCTACGTAACTCAATTGACGTGACACACCCGCAAGGGCAATCTTCAGCAGAATCCCACAGACCTAGAATAGAGAGAGCAAATTTGGTGCTCTCTACAGAGTAATTGAAATGGGAATAGGGTTATCATCTGCATTCCATTGTCAACGGAGATGTTCTACAAGGACTCAGTTCAGTGTGGCGACTTCCAGGTGAGTCATGCAGCTTTATGGATATAAAGTCCGACATCCTCCTTTCGTGGGGAGTTCTGCAAATGCAGTAGGTGTGTTTTATACACTTAATAAAAATATTTAGTCCCATTCAGTACATATGTCTTAAAGCATGCTAGTAGCATTGTTGCAGTACACTGAGAAACGCTATTGTAAAACAACCGGTTATTTTTCTGGCTTTCAGGCGAGCACCCTGCTTCCTGAGAACTAAAGCCTGTCATAGTAATACTGAAGTGAAAAAAAATTTTAAATTAAGAACTGATAGCCAAGGTGATAGTCGGGTTTATGTTGTGTGTAAGGGATAATTGTGTACTGTACACTTTTCAACGGCTTGATGGCTCATCTCGGAGTCGTCACCAGTGGCGTAGCCAGGAAGGCAGGAGGTGCTGCTTAACTTCCCCCACCCCAGCACAGTCCCGGTATTTTTTATCCTAAAGCCGTGGTAGTGTGAGTGACAGGCAGACAGATGGATTCACGGTTACTGATAAAACACTTTGAAGCTTCGCCCCACACATCATCATTCACTTCGTAAATATGCTGTGATTTTCTTAGTTTTCCGCGTGTATACCTACATGCACACATAGAAACCCACAAGAATATACATAAAGTGTGACCGAAGTCGCCTTCCCCTCACACACCACCCTCATGCGAAAAATATCTTTTTGCTAAGCTACTGGTCTCCACACTCTAGACATATTCATTGTAGCGCAGTTCTGTTGGCATTGGAATGCAGATGATAGCCCCATTTCAATTTGAATATCTCCGCATCAAGCTTGCTGCGGATACCTCAGGTCTGTGTTAGTCTTCTGAAGATTGCCCTTGCGAGTGCTTCATGACGCTTGAGTTAGGTAGGGGTAAAGCTGGTGGAGATACATAACTTCAAAAAAATACTTCTCGAGTTTAAAAAATAATACCCTTTAGTGACTTCACCTATATTGAGGTAGTACATAGAACTTCAAAAGGAAATGTGCATATTTTTTGTCTTACCACCAAGGCAAGGTTTTTGATTCTGAATACAGAGCTTTTTCAAAAAAAAGTGAAGTTCACAATTTTTTAGACTATCTTCTAAAGTTCAGTGCACAAATTATTTTGAATTTGTAGCATGTCGAAAAGGCCACCAGTGCATAATATATTTCTGTCCTTCGAATTAGCCATGTTACCAGGAAAAAATCGCAAACCTGGCAGCATTATTCAATTTTGCTTGTGGGAGAAGCTCTTGAAGAATGGATATACATAGGTAAGTCATTATATTTAGTTACATCACTTCATTACCTTGCTGGAAATGCCATTTATTGAGTGTATTCCAAAACAACTTTTGAAACAAGTTGTTGTTTGAGGACAATTAGCTCATTTGATGCCATGCCACAGACTCTCACAACTAGGGAGGAAAATTTTTGGAAACTGAAATAAATGACCAGGACGAGTTTCTATCTTCGAGAAACGTGAAAATTTTATCCCCTATTTTTGTGATGTTCAAAAACATGCTAGGTGATTTGTATGGTATAACCTTAATTGTTGAATTGGTTAATACATTGAATTACTCCTTTACTCTTTTTGCCTCAACTAATGTTGTTAGCCAATATTTTGGTGTGTTTATGGAGTTGTTTCTGCTTTCAGCCATTTCATTCTGTATGAATGTATTTTTATTTATTATGTGTGATTATTTATTTTTGTGCTGCAAGTCAAGGCCTATTAGAAGTCTTGAAATGGATAAAGTTATTGTGCTCGCAATTTTTTTCGCTCTGTACTTCCCTCGTGTGGTTGTGCTGACAAAATGTTTTTCCTCTTTTTCAGGAAAGAAGTCTTCACAATATTACCCTTACAATAGGAAAACAACACAAGTGCTTTGGGTATCTGGAAGTTATGATATTCCTTCTTCGTATTTTAAATTCCAGATACAAAGCTGCCAAAATAAAACAAATTATTTGCAATTTTTGTTCACACAATTTGTAGCATGTCTGTCCCGTATTTCACTTTAGGATCATGGGAAAATAAAATTCTATTTTAGTAAAGAGGAAACTTGTCCTTGTTGGTTTTAAACATTTGACTTCTATTCGTAAATTTTTAGCATCTGCAGGTGCAGCCAAAATTCCCGGGTGACGCTGTCACAAGAATAATTGGAGTAGTGGCTTGGCAAATTTCGATTGACCTTGTACTTGCAGAAGAAAAATCTGCTGATTATGCATGCCTCATGTCAAATCTAATGAAAGCAGGTTTATTATTTATGGACATGTAGCAATAGTATTATGAATAATGTGTAAATGACCCTACAGAACAGGTGTTGTTCCGTAGCAGCCGTTACTTTATTTCTTCATTTCAGGGATCTCTGTGAAAGTTGAATGGGCTGTACGTTCTATGTGTTCAACGTAATCTCAGGTGTACTATTTTCTTTTTACGGAAGTGGATGGCAGCATGTTACCTACGTCTCTTTACGTAATCAAGGGAAAATATTTTTGCAGTGTGGGACGAAAAGAAGGTGTACGGTGTAGGCTGCTAGGTATATTTAGAAGGATTCTTGGCTCACAGTTAAAAACGATTGTGTAAATTGCTGCTAATTAGGTCGTAGTTCTGGTCTTTAACAGAAGGATACTATTCCGATGGTTTCAATCTGACGAAAACTTCGACCACAGCCGAAACGTCCTTAGTTTATTAAAAACTCTTTTGAACTCTGCTTAAACCTCCATCTCATTTTCAAACTACTTGATTCGGCATGCATTCAAACTGTTTCATTTCTATGGAAATAATTTGTTGCTAATCAGTCAGTTGGCGAGTTCCAAAGCTGTTAGAAACACAAAGCCAAAACTCTGTGGTTTACATCTTATTGGTGAGGGCGGCATACTTCTATTCTATAGAACTAACACCCTCAAGCTAACAAGCTCCTGAAGCTTTTATTTTATTGTGCCATACAACCAGGATGGGGTAAAACAATCGTAAATACTTGACGCCACCCCGGTGTAGCTAAGTTTGCGTGTCGGCACAGAATATTTCACTCAAATCTACTCATACACTCTTAAAAATAAGTTGGTGAAAAGCTAGTAACCACGACCAAGACGTAACAGCAGCTGTTACTAGCCTTCTTTGGCCATTACTAACCTTTTACTACCCACGTTAGCAAACGCGTGAGGGTTGCAACGGTTACTACGTTTTACTAAGTTACGGTCGAAAAAGTTACCGTTACTAGTAACTTTTCATTATGCACGTATTTATTCAACTTATTAAACAAACTTTAAGAGGTTATTACTACGAGCGTCTAACAACCTATTTTGTCGCACGGGGATGCATTCAAGTTCATTGAGGCAATACATGCAAGCTTATACACAGTCTTATTTCTTGAATATTAGGCTGTGTTGAGGTGGTAATATGCAAAATAGGCATAAATAAGCGTTTTTCTTAATACGCTTGTATAAAAGTTCTACACTACGTTTCTCCGCTCACCTAAAAAACTGTACGTTGTAGAAATAAAGGCACCTTAAATTATACATCCTACAGCATAGCCGCCTGCCGGCACCAGCTGCCTTTCCCAAAGTTAGGGCTATAAATACTCCTTGAATCTCTTAGGAACCGTACATCTCGCGTGGACTTGTGTATATGTGCTGTTCTTTAAGACATTATGTTTGTATTTAGTCAACGTTGATGCTCGCGAATAGGACTGTTATAAAATGGGTGATTCGTAAGGCAAAATGATCGCCTCTAGTAGATTTTTTTTTTGTTACCAACCCTTACTAGCTATGTTAGTAACCATTCCTAACTGCGTTAGTAACGGCGGAGGTAGTAATGGTTACTAACCTCCCCGTTACTAACCTCACTTACTAACCGGTTAGTAACATATGTGACAAGCAGTTAGTAAACCAAACTTAGTAAGTACTACAGCCTTTTTTTAGAGTGTACGCCCTGGTTGCCGCCGTCCTGTTTTCGTCTTTCATTCTTTGCTTTCTTTAAAATGGATATTGTACCCGTGTCCTACATCAATGCGCTTTACTTCCAATACTATTCATGGAATCAATGCCTTCTTTGACGAAGAGTTCAGCAAAAAATTGTGGTACAGGAGAAACATTAAGTTTATAAACTAATTATTCATCCCTATAATCTCAAGATTTTACGTCACAGATGTAAAAGGTTACTTCTAGTGTCCGTATACAGTTCGAAGCTTCGTCCTCATATAGCTTAGACCAAAAGGTGTCCTGGTGCGTGTATCACCTAACCTAATGTGGATGAACACAACTTGGCCGGACAAACTTGACTGAGCAGATCTTCGCAAGCTTGTACTTCTTACGTCATTAACTCCACTGCAGTCTTGAACTCAATAAAAAAGTACGAAGCTTGCATTAAGCCATGCGATTTTGGGAACAGCAAAGCTAGGTGATTCGAAGATATCTTTCTATTTCTAGTTTGTTTCTAGGCCTTAGCTATATGTGAAATAAGTTGGGTCTGTCTTGATCCTAGGTTATTGTCACAAACGAGCGCCCAAGAAAGCGTGCGCCGCCGAATTCGGGAGGCGGCGACAATACCAGGTGCCAGATTGTCGCTCCAAAGTCGACGTAAAAGAAGAAAACTAGCAGCAAAGGACTCCTCGGGCGCGGCGTTCACCAACCAACCTCCTGGCACCGATCACGGAGCGAACCACAGAGGTTTCGAGAAGAAAAGCATGAGTCCCTCCCTGGGTGCGACACGTGTCGCGAATTGTTGTAGAAAAATTTGGCCCTTTCCCAAGCCTTGGCTGTGCAGCGCGCCGACTAAACAATTAGAAACGGCTAGAACCCAGGGCGAAACGTATTTAAGCAAGCAGCGGTTGAGGGTGAGCAGGAGAAGAAGAAAGTTTCTCTGCCGTCGGACGAAGGCTTATGTCGTCAGTGACAAAGCAGAAGATGAAAAAGGTTTTGCTCGCAGCGTGCGTAGCGCAGGAGATGAGATGATGATAGTTATAGCGCGAGAACAAAACGACGGCACACAGACAAGAAGGACACGAAAGCTAACTTCCAACTGAGTTTATTGCGCAGAGCGTGAAAATATGTAGAGGAGACAGTAAATCATGTGGCATAAAGAGCAATACAGAAGTAAGGGAAAAACAATAGCACTGAAGAAGGCAAAGAAAAGTCTACGTGAAAACAAAACAGAAAAGTAAAACTAATATAACTACTTGCGCGCACCGAAACCTTCGAGGAACCTTAGTTTCTTCTCGGACAGAGACACGGAGGGCTTGCTAACGCATGACACCTGTTCGCGTGCCATCTGCGCGCGAACAGGTGTCATGGATGCCCGAGAATGACAAGTTATGCTTTTTGGAATTAAGACTGTTTTTAGACCACAGCACATTTGTCGGTGTTATGAACCACGTGCGCAGAAACCTTTACTTCCCCAACCCAAATAACCCAAGAGCTCGAAAATCCCGAGGTCCCTCCTCTATGGTGCATCCCGCAGTCAATTCATCGACAGGCGTCGGCGTGGTGTTATAGTTTGTAAGATGGTCACGAGTAATGCCTCTGTGAGAGTAATAAAATAGTAGCAAAGCATCTTGATAGCAACATGCAGTGGTCATAACGTACTATGGAGTAAGTATGCACCACTAATTCATATGTGTTTTCAAAGGTGCTGGAGCCGTCTTACAAAATGCACACAGTTGCGATAGATCAGATGTGCTTTCAAATAATTAGCTACAACTCGTATGACTTTATTTTAAGATGCCATAGAATAAAAAATAAAAAAGAACATCAGTGAGTTTCGCGTTCTGTCGATTTTCGGTGGCATCACGACATTCACAAATAGCGGCCGTCTAACCCATTCGAGGAATGGCGCATACCCACATCGTGTCTGGGCTGGTGGTCAACGTGTAGTAGAAAAAAAGAACTCAATTAGGAAGCCGCGAATAAATGAAATTAAGAGAGCGTAGGAATCAGTGTTTTTGTACCCAGAATTGTAAGAACAGAAAATTGGTTTGGAAATCTCGGCAACAGTCACAACGATAAGCAGCTGAGTGAACTGAAAGTAAAGAAGATGAACAATTTAGCACGCTCCGCACCTGACTGGTCCGCTCGCGCTTCTGGCACGGCAGTGCGTGAAGAGGACGAAGGCTGGTCACGCGCTAACGCGCTAGCTCGTCTCCGGGGTCGTCACCTTTCCAGCGTTCTAGGATGAGGTTCTCGGAGCAAAACCTTCTCAGCCGGCGAGATCTCCGGAATGGAGACACCGAGGACCCCTTCATTAAGACCTCCTACGTCTACACCGTCAGTTCTTGCATGCTCCTGGTGGTCGTTTTCTTCGTGGTCCTCCCAGGCGCCCTGGTGCCTTACTTCCGAAAGGTAAGCCCGAATTAATATCCCGTTTTACCGCAGCTAGGCAGAAAATAAACCCGCTTAGGCTATATTTAGCTCATGCCAGCAGGACTTTTCATTTCTGTGATTCCGACGGGAATCGCACAGACTATCGCGGCTGGTTCGCCACAGCCGTGTTAAAGTAGGGAGTTTTAGAATACGGTTTGCAAGCGCTGCGGGCGTTGCGGGCGTAGCGGGCGCCATAGGAGTTTTAGAATAGCGTTTGCCCTGCTGCTAACCGCAACGCAACATCGCAGCAATACCATAGCCTCGAAACCAGAGCTTGCGGGCCACATGCGGGCCAATGCCTTCTCTAGAAAGTTTCCTGAGGAATGGCTCGCGCTCCCAGCGGAATCGGCCTGCCTTCAGTTTTAAACAAGCGCCGCGCGTTGGCGCTCGCGACCGACACTATGATCACGACGGCAGGCGGTACCAGCTGAGCGTTTTTCATCTGCGGCCCGTAGGGACGCGTCAGTCGAGAGTTGTTCGAGACCTGCAACTGTACACCACTGTTTCGGAGGCAATGCAAAGTGTTGCGTTGTTGCACCATCCGCAAAAAGTGACGCTAGCGACCGAGAACATTCTAAAATGAAGGAGGAAAAGGGTGTGGCAGCTGTTTTCCTTTTCATGCGGCAGGCATCTAAATAGAGGAGGCGCTGTGCGGGCCGCCATTACCGCTCGTAGCCTCGAGACCAGCGCTTGCGGGCCACATGCGGGCCGCCATTACCGCACGCGATTTCGGATTATTTGCGTGCGGTCGGCGAACGCGAACGCCGACTCACGTTACGACGCATGCGCAGTGGCAGCGACCGCACTGCAAAGGCTCGCGTTGCGCTATTCTAAAACTCTCTAGTAACGACGACGCCCGTTCGGTTTGAGCTTGGTAGGTTAAGGGGCATTCAGAAGTGGGTGATGCGCTTGGATGCATGTATGATTGAGCTAAATTGACGCGTTTTTGCACTGCACTGAAGTAACCGCTGCTGTAAACGTTATAGTCTAAAGGGCCTCTCACCACCTCGCTCTCCGAGACCAGAGAGGGATTCCCACTTCTCTTTCGCACAGGCCATGTATCCTCCTCGCCTGTAATTTATTGAAAGTACGTGGACAATATCAGCACTAAGCTCCCGAGCCTATCAGGATTTCCCGCTTCTCGGCTACACGCCGTTATCACCGCTTGCACAGTCTTAAACACACAAAATTAGCTTAAATCAGTTGATCGCGCACGATAGTCATGTGAGACAAGAAAGAACGGATGGGTGGCTGCATGGCAAAGCAGTGCAGGAGACAAATCACATCTGATGATTCACGTATATGGACCAATCGAGAGCATGTACACTATAGACGTCCCGGGAATCACTGTCAGCGTCACGAAGTGCCGCCAGAAAGACAAACGCCAGGATAGAATAATGTCCTTGTTTTTTTTTTGTATTTTAGGAGGGTGGTGAGGGGCCCTTTAACGGTTGTGCAACTGTGAGATTATGGCACAATATGGTGTCTATACAGGGTCTCAACGAAAGCAACGGTACCATTAAGAGCTACGAAGTCAGGCCTACATCTGCCATTTCAGACAACACGCAAGTAAGAGCCCTATGCACCCCGGTGGTGGCACCTCTCATTTTGTTGGCTTTGAAAGACACTCGATAGTTGCCTAGTTTGCTATGCCACAAGTGTTCCCCGCGTATTTTCAGAAGGGCTGTCTTATGAAACTATATCATTCAGGCTTAGTGTTGTTTTCTTCTGCAGTTAAAACTGCTCAAGTTCTTTGTCCTGTCTTTTTTTTAGGTCGAGTTCTATTCTATATTTGTATTTAATCGTCAGGTTGCAAACGATCTTGAAAAGTCTTATTTTTTGTACTCATAAGGGTTATTGAACTGCTTAAACTATTCGTTCTCACGGGACATAGAGCGATTACCATTCTCCAGCCAGAAAGGTTGATTGATAAATCTTGTGAAACAACTACTTTTTCCGTGTAGTTATTTATAAATTCTAAGAGAGCATACATGCCTTCTGCAGGCGTTGCATAAAGACGATGATATCGTAATGCAGACAAATAAATGCATGCATTGAAAAGCAACACCATTATATAACATCAGTGCATACCTCATTTCGCGTGGGGTAGAAAATATACGGCAGAAAAGCATAATGGTTCAGCCGTTACATATTGTGTGAAATGGGTAAAGCAAAAAGGCCAAATTGATGCATTTGAATATTGTGTAACATAAGCGCCGGCGTTTCACTCGGAGACCAGGAAAAAAGCTGTAGAGGAGCAGAACAGTGGGGAGGTAAAACAAAAGAAAACGGGAGAATATAATAAAAAAGTGCAATGTCAAAATTCAATAAGACAAAGGTAGAAACAAGATATATGTTGAACGAATAATACCAATATGCCATCACTATTAAGGCATAGAAATGTTTTAGTCTGAACAGTGAATGTTAGGGCATAGTGCCTGTTTGTTAATCGCATAAGCAATCTAATCCGGGAGATTGTTTTGTCTTCGGACGACATGTCTAAGAGCACATTTAGCAAATGTATTTGCTGAGCCTTAAAGAACCACTCACCAGGTTTGACAATATTGAGCTGACGAGCGCAATGCATACATCGAGCGTTCACGTTCATAAAGCCACGCGTCGCCCAAATGGGTCAAATGTCAAGATGAACGCTGCTTTCTCGTCCTTTCGCGGGCACGCACCTATATAATGAAGGCATTACGTAGACGTACGAACTGCCCTACCTAGAAGGCTATTGTGTGATGTGGGGTATTTACGTAGACGACTGTGCTCTTACGTGGCCAACAGTAGCTCGGGACATCGTGAAAACGATTGCACAGGAGGCGTGTGGTTTGTGTAATTTGTTGCTTTAAAGGGGCCCTGCAACACTTTTTGAGCATGGTCAGAAAACGCTGCGTGTTTTCGGTAGCAGAGGCTCCCAAAAACACGCGAGCCAAATAATATAGCGCAGCACGTGGCCTGGAATTTCCAATGAATTACCAGTCAGCTAAAAATTGCTTTCTGTTCTGCCGACGAATCACGAAATATGCCCAAAAATCACACGTAGCAAGCCCATCTATCATCGATTGGCTGATTTGAACATTGTGCGCTCGCTCGTTACAGAGATCGCCGTGGGAGGCTGCTACTTGTTCACGCGTGCGCGTGCGATCACACTGAAAAGCCGCGCATTCGAAAAAAAAAAGAAAAAAGAAAGGCCGTAAGGTCACGAGGCTCGCTTGACGTTTTTGTGTGGCCCTGCCATCCTTCTCTGCTTAGCTTCTAGCGCTTTCGTTGGGACGAGAGAAGAGATAATGCAATCGGAGCATGCGACAAACTTTTGTAACTCCACTCACACTGGACGAATTCTTAAAATTTTTGCGGCGTTGAATTCGTGAGCCAATAAGCTCTTCCAGTGAATTCATTTCATTGTTACTTGAAAAAGTGTTTCAGGGCCTCTTTATTAGATGAACAAAATGTGAAATAAACATTGAAGGACAAAAAGAAAGATTTTTTTTTTTCGTGAATTGCAATGCAATGCGGAGCGAATGTCCGTGCGTTTCGCGTGCATACGTGTCCCCGCGGTTAGCGCATCAGAAGCAAAAGTAATACTCTTACGCGTTCAAGCACTCAATATACTCATATCTAAGCCGGCGTTTCCAAACGAGCACATGCGAGTGCGCACCGAGACATGCAACCCGCAGAAACATTCCTTATTGTGAGGTATAAAAAACGAATCCTCAGCCCGCACAATAAAAATACAGGCAGTAGACTACAAAATAACAGTAAGTCAATAAAACAACGCCGCCCGCGTGCTCGAGGGTTGGGCATGCTCGGGGACGTGATGCGCTGGTGTCCATTCGCTCGAATGTCGGAAAGAATAGAGAAGTTATTTGGTTTGCGAAAGCTACACGAGGCGAGCGGCAAGGGTTTCGAGCTCACCTTCTCTCGTAATAGTTTCGTGCCACTCCTCTCTGCTTGAAATAACTCATTGAAAAAAAATTTGGTGGCACAATGCTCTTCTTTGGACACACAACAGCTGCCAGCATCTAACTATAATTTGTTATGAGGCCTGGTGAATGGTCCTTTAAAGGTTGCTTGGCTTGAGTGATTATGTAGTCTGCTCGAGATGAAGCAGTGCTTTTCAGACGTGCTATATTGCTATGCACCTCATGCTGCTATTGTCACACCTCGATGACGCATATTCACAATTTTCTCAACATGAAACCAAACTTAAGTGAATAATTAAAAGAGAAGATGAAACCGCGCAATTGGATTAATAACAACACAGTATCGAAGACCACGGTACAAACGCTGATGATCAACTGTATAATAATTCATATAAAAGAAGCTGTTTGTATACATTCTCAGGAGAAACATGCACACACTATACATTAGTTATTCAGTCACAATCTTTCTTTAAAGAACTTTATTTCTCTCTCAGATAGTACAATAGTGAGTGAACTGACACAGTTGTCACCTTCACTACAAATTTGAAAGGCCTCTAAAATTTCTCTGGCTCATTTATGTTTTCTCCTCCCTATAAACATGGTTTACAGAAACATGGAAACACTTGCGCACGTTTGAGTGGTCCAATAAACGGTTGTTATATTCATTCTTTACGTTATTGCAGCGTTGGCGAGCATGCTTATTGAACATTTGTCCGGTATGATATATATAAACTTTCCCAGAGCTCATGAGAACTTTTAATACCAGATTGCAGATGCATTCAGAGAAATGAGTTTCGTTAGTTGTTTTAGCCTAAGTTCTAATCAGCTGTTTCATCATCTGTTTTACTTATAGCACAACTTGCCCTCATCCAGTTGTTAGTTGTGGCTGAATAATGGCCGCAAATCATTCTGTCCTATTTTTTTAGGGAAGGCAGCCACCGAGTGACGAGCAGCACTTTAAGAACTGTTATGTGTTTGAATTAGGCCCAACTCTCTATGTAACCGGCATCGTAAAGCTGTTAGCAGTAACACCATGCCAGCAAAGATTGTTCTACTTGTGATCACGCTGTTTATATACAAGTAGATATTATTTTTATGTGTATAACACTACAGAAAGAATACTGCTGGGTAACAAATGGTCAGGATATTGTCACTGTGCTCATCCCGTATTCTTAGTTACCGGGGCATCAGCACATCGGCTTGAAATCATGCGAGTATGTTGACCTCCGTTCTTGGAAAGGTTACTGATTCACTTCTTGGCTTGATACGTGCTAGCTTGCTTGTATACAACAGATCAATAATTGCTTCGATTCCGGGTATATTCTTGAGAACTACATGCGCCAATGCTTAAAAAAAAGTGTTTCATGGAAACTAGGGGCAGCATCGCGCTAGGTTTTAATGTGCAGAAGTGATCTTACGCAAAACTAAAGTTAAGTGATTATTCACAGTCATGTACATTTAATTGTGTTTCATGGGGAAGAAAACTAATCTATAACTCCCGACAGGATATCTTTTACTTTCTTCCACCGCTTCTCATAGGCCAATATGTTTTCTCTCGCCCCGCCGCGGTGGTCTATTGGGTACTCGGTTGCTGACCCGCAGGTCACGGAATCGAATCCTTGCTGTGGCGGTTGCATTTTCGACGGAGGCGAAAATGCGTTAGGCTTGTGTGCTCAGAATAGAGTACACGTTAAAAACCCCCAGAAATCAAAATTTCCGGAGCCCTCTGCTACGGCATCTCTGATAATCATATGGTGGTTTTGGGACGTTAAACCTCATATAAAAATCAATGCTTTTTCTCTCCATATGTGGCCTCAATAATACAGCTCAACGGGTGCGAAAGCTCGAGCTCCTGTAATGTAGCTATGGAAACGAAACCAATTGAGAATGAAACGCCAAAAAAGCGAAAGGGACATTATTGGTTACTTTTAAACTGCTGCGTGAGGGTTTCGACCTCAATGAAAAGAAATATAGTAGACGAAAAGTCGCCCTTTCTCTTGGTGGGATACCCAATATAGCGGACTTCCCGTCAAGAAAGCGGACGAGGGGCGCACCACATGTCGTAGCTTAAATCGTAGAGCATTGGACAATAACCGGAAGGGGGTGGGCTCCGATACCACTGGCGGAAATGATAATTTTTCGTCCGCTGCTATTCCTTGATTCATTTATAGATGTATTGATTGATTGATTGATTAATTCATATGAGGGGTTTAACGTCCCAAAACCACGATATGATTATGAGAGACGCCGTAGTTGACGGCTCCGGAAATTTCGACCGCCTGGGGTTCTTTAACGTGCACCCAAATTTGAGCACACGGGCCTACAGCATTTTCGCCTCCATCGAAAATGCAGCTGCCGCAGCCGGGATTTAATCCCGCGACCTGCGGGTCGGCAGCTGAGTAATTTAGCCACTAGACCACCGTGATGGGGCGATTCCTTTCAACTGAGGTCATGATCACTGAACCCTAAATAATATCTCCTATGCTTTCCTCAACTTAACTGTCTGTTTTTTTTAATTTGTTGCTTCTAACAAAGAAGTGAGCCAATAATTATATTTGCCTCATTTTCTACCGAAGATATGAAGTAACTTCATCAAAGGCTTGAAAAAAATATGTTACTGCTACGAGCGCCTTCGCAGATGATAGATATCAATTAGGCTATCAAAAGTAACTGTTTCGTGTCATTATTTTTATTATGTATGGAAGAAAAAACGCAAGGCCTGCGTGTAAATATCAGCAGTCACAGCAAAAACCGAAAGACCTGCATTTATAGAATCCGTTATAAACATCGTGGGGGCGACTAATACAAGTACGCTTGCGGGGTACTTACTGGGAGGCACTTTCTACGCTATTATTCGTGATTTGGCGGAGAAGCGAAGTATCTGGTACAAATTTGCAAGGCATCATGTGCATGTTGTTGATGCGATGGCTGATGACGTCACAGAATAACGGCGGAGCCCTTTCCAGTGGGTCGGAAGCACTCAATGACTCACTCGAACGTTGCACACTTCGTGTTGTGCGACGCCTGGTTACACAACTCTCATTGTGTGACACCTGGGTGTTGTTTTACTCTTGTACCACGCAAAATACACGTGTTAACATGGCGTAACATGTGTAATATAGCACGGTTATACTTTAACACATTTTAACGCGTTACCACGCGAAATTACACATGTTACGTCTTTGAAAGAAATTTTGGTGATGGTGTTCCAGCGCCGGCATAGCTCTGAGGTAGAATACATGGCTGCCACAGAGAGGTTCGAGGTTCGAACATCGTTTCATCCCGGATTGGTCTTACTTTTTTTTTCGCGTGATAGTGATTATGGAGGACACCGGCGCTGGTGGCTGGGGCGGACAGCTACTGCGCCAAAACTAGGTCTTGTTGTGATCTCACTACAGCTTTTGCTGGAAACAGTCGGGAGCTTATTCATACCAAGACATCATACTCAACAAGCACATGGCTCTCGTATCGGTAAAAGCCGTTTAAGTATTGCGATATACTCGCGCACCGAATAAACTCGGTTAGCGGTGGTGCTGTGTGGCGAGAAAATTTCAGTGCAATTCTACAACTGGTCAGTCACTACCTGACCCCTGACTCAGGAAGTTTAGAGCTGAACCCCAACGCATGCAGCTCATTGCTCATACGGGCTCTGTACTTAAACTAAAGAGACATAGGAACTTGCTTATATTTATACTTTATGTGGTGCCTATACGGTGCGCCAATCTTTGCATAAACATTATACTTATTTATGAGATTCAGTAAACTTCCTGCATTTTATTTCTTTCCCGATATACATGAAATTTTATACATGTACCTAATGCATGCATTGTGGAACACTGCCACTGCATGTCCATCTCTTGCACCAATGCTCTGCTCCAGTACCCCCTTTGTTACGTGAGTGATGGGTCTTCTCTTTCCATCCTCATCACAAGGTATGGTTCAAAAGGTATCGAGTGACAGTGACCTGATAAACATGAATGTATACGAGTAAGGATGCAAACTCGTGCTACCGTCATGCACCTCATAAACAAGAAAAGCCATCACTTCTCTGCCACGTGGTATTAGTAGCACACGCAGCACATTCCAAGGTATTCGTTAGACTTCCACAAATATGATTAACCACTCAGAGGCACCTTTTATCATGAACGGGGCTGATTCATTGGTGCAGTTAGGCGTAGATGATGCAATGTATCAATCACGTGAGCCAAGCATTGTGCAAGAGGATCTTTTCTTTCCGAGTCTGCTACGTGCATTATAAACTTCGTAAGGCTACTACCTTCACGAGCACATTCGGCCTGTGTGTGAAACGGACTCTTTAGTTCAGCATCCCCACTCACACTGAAGATAGAAGTAATCTAATCAAAAAATTATTACAGGCGAATCGTTATAAAAGCTGTGAATTTAACTTAAACGATCGTGCATTATACATTGACTGACTTTTGTTACGTCTCTAGCATAGTTCAGCAAAACTTGTGGAGCACAGTCAGACTCACTGATGGATTATTGCATAAGATATAGTCATCAAGATATTCCCTGGAAGGATTTAGCACACCCTTCTACGTAAGTCACGCCTCTTAAAATTATTAATTTGAAACGATGTATGAACGACACTGCTTTGGAATACGTGTCAGTAGACGTGAGTATAAACGTGAATCCGTGTAAGGCTTATAATAATGCTAAAGATGACTTGATAGGAGTCTCTAGATATCATGGCCGATCCCGATGGCACTAAAGCAGCATGAGGGTGATCGTGACATAAAGGTTATATCAATGGGCTCCTGCACTGGAGACGCGAGATTCAATCACACCATGCTGTCATAGCAATTCTTTATAGCATTTGTAGGTAGTATAACGCGCCTTCAAAGGTATAGCTAACAATCAAGTCAGTTGAGCGCACGCGAGTCGTTCAAGGAAACATAAGTAGTACCTAATTCCTCTATCATAACAGAGCACAAGGTCACCCGCGACGCAGTCACACGCAGCTATTGAGTCGTCGTAATTATGGTCAAATAAATATGCAATAACGCCGCTAAGCACTGAGCTATATTCCCCATCTAGTTATGCGCTTTATTTAAGCATATATATAGTATATCTCCGTCGCAGTAAAATCTACCGTGGTAGTTGTCAGCGCCGTAGTTCTTCTCGTCAGCTCGGGAAAGCGAAATGGGCAGCCGTGTTCTCTACACTTCACAATGTTTTGCCTATTTTTTGCATATATAGTTATACAAACATCTCGCTAGTAACATAATGGTACCACGAGAATTCAAGAGCACTTACGCTGTGACCACGCCGTGGCGTTTTCAACATGTGCAGGTTCGGTACTTGTCGGACCTTCCGAAACTTGAAGACCAAGGCCGACTACGACAACAAGGATTGCAGGGACCTCTCATTCTGTGTCAGTTGAATGCGGAAAGCTTTTCGCGACCGGAACCCTGGGCTTATAGGGCGGAACACATACCAACCGAGCACTGCACCCACGTGGTGTTTTCGATGCCAGGCCTGAAAGACTGGTTTAATGACCTTATTAACTACGACGTGTACCACGTGGCTACACGACCGTTTTTTTGGCGTGCAGTCGATCTGCTACTGGAGCGCAAGAACGCTCACCTCCTCGTCAGCGTAGGTGCGTTCGGCAACGTGACCAGTCTGATGGCCGACGTTGCCAGCAGCGGTGACACTATGGCGCGCTTCTCGCGCAACATGGTGCGATGGGTGCTTGGTAACAAGTTGGACGGCGCATTGCTTGCTGGCGTGTTTCCGGCCCCTTCCAACATGCGCAACGCCATGGTAAAGTTGGTGAAGAAGCTCGGAACGTTATTTCGCGTGCACCACATCATCTTGGGTCTTGTGGTTCAACCTCAAGCACAGCTTTTTCACACTCACGGCGCCGGGGTGAAGTTGGCACATTTCGTGGATCTTGTCGTTGTCATGGTGAGTTTCTAGATAGTGCATAGGCGTGATTGTTCATGCCACTTAGGATGAAAGAGCCGTGTGCAGTCTCACCTGATGTTCTTGTTTAATGGAGCATGACCTATGTCTCGTGATGAAGGGCAGACCTCGCATGTATGATGTGCGTTTAACCTGGGACATGGTCAACTTCAATTTTGTCTTTGTGTGAGTACATCTTATTGCTTTTTTAGAGTCTCAGCTTCGTGTGGTGGCCATCGTGACCAATTGGTCTTGAAGATCTTTTTCTAGCCCCTCTTCCCCCTACAGCATACTTATAACTGCCCTAAGGTCGTCTCACGTACTTGAAAATACTATGTTACGTGCGCATTATGGACTCATAATTGTGTGTCAGTGTCACCTTCGACATATGCTTGGGCTGGGGACCACCACTCGACGTCGTCCTTGTTGTTAGTGTAACGTTCATTCAGAATATGCCAGAAACCGAGCCATTACAGTTGCGTACGCATAAGTAAAAAACAAGGCATAACACATTGATTTCGTTTTGCAGATCCGCCTTTCTTAAAGCCCCTTTCTAAAATCTCCTGCTATAAAGCTGGTCAATTTACTCGCTTTAATTGTTTTTAGAACAGAACCGTCATCGTGCCTGGGACATGATCTAGGTCAGCAACGTGTTTTGTACATGCCATACGAGAAATTCATGGCAACATAAAGGTCACGAGCGTCTTCTTGGAAGCTCACAGGAGTCCTCCGGACAATATATGTGCAGGTCAATAACGAACCATCAGTGCGAAGTGCGGCTGAGAGTGCTGTTAACATCGGCAGTGCGATTGAGGTCCTCCGTGAGTGTGGCGTACCATCCTCCAAGTTGGTGCCCACCTTCAGCATGGAGGTTATCATGTACAAGTTCTTTGACACGCCAGACTTCATCAACACCACATCTCCTGTGGCCTTACCTTACTACACCGTTTGCGAGCGGATCCAGCAGGGAGGCTGGGAACTCATGTTTGACTCCAGTACCCATTCCAACTTCCTTCACAGGTTAGTGTGTCTCACAACTTGCACTGCAGTGTAACCACATTACTAAAGATACATTTAAAAAGACGAAAAGTTATCGTAAAAATATAGTCAAAGTTAACTAATTTGATGCAACACGAATAATCACAGCATAGAAGCGAACCTTCAATTTGGCCTTCCAGAGTGTCACTGGTGAATGCTATTCTAAGCATAGGTGTTGTGTAATGCTTTTAGAGAGTAGGTTACAAATAAAATCAGCAGGCATGACTGAACGAAAAATACTAGCTGAAAAAATTGCAAATATATTAGAGGTAAGATTTACCCAGTGGTGCGAAAACTATAGTTCAGAAAGGCTTCCATCTCACATCGCTTCCACATTTTAAGACGTAGTGCATGTCAGACATAAAAAAGATCATAGGTTATATTCTTGTACAACCAAGCAAGTACAGCGGTCGAGCTACGCCTGCCAGATTTACTGTACGGGTAGAAGGTAACATGTAGATTGTCAGTTATGTGTTGAAGTTCCGGGTCCATATCCACAAAAGTGTGTTCATATTAGCCTAAAATGTTCATAACAAAATTCTGCAGCCAATACTGCAGCGAATAGACAGGCTGTAGATACCATTAGAGACACCGGTCAACCAATAACCAAAAGAAAACTTAGAAATAAGCTTGAATTCGGCTGGCACGTGTTTATATTGAAGAATAGGGAATATCCATGTTTTAAGTGAGGTGGAAATCAATTGCGCGGTGTTTGTTCAGGCCTCCGATTGCGTGCTCACAATCCTGGAAAACTGAATGCTCATGATTGAAGTACACAATACTGAGGCATGCGAGTAATACAAAAATAATAATAAATACATGATTGGAAAACTATAGCACTGAAAGCAAAATGTAGTTCAAACGTGACCCCAGAAAAGCAAATGAAAGAAAAAAAAACTCAACCAGCTCTGCTTCACGAGCACCGATAAAACACCGATGCTATGCTGATCTCTTTCCCTTCGTTAGATTAGTGCATTTCTATTTTTTCGAAGTATTTCAGATATGGTGTATCACTGCGGCTTACTAAACACTCTTGGTTAAGCTTTTAGGTTGCAGTATAGTTTCATTGCATCTTGACTATACCATTATTATAACTAACTTTACCAAGACGGTTTCGTCTAAGGTGCTCCGATATGTGCTATCACTTCTCGTTACTAAGCGCTCTTTGTTAAGCCTTGAGGCGGTAGCATAACCACTACTTTTTTATGACCACATTGTATCGGCGAACAGTGGTGTTACTGTTGTCATGCGCAGGCAATTTGTTTGGCTAACTGGTGCCTTCTGCCTTTTCAGGGGTTCTGTGCAGTGGGTGTGATGCATACGCGTTTGTGATTTTAATAGTTTTCAGGTTGCATACATTTTTGTGGCACCTACCTGTTTGTTCGGCTAACTGCTATCTCCATTTTTTAGTAAACCAGTGGTAATTATAGGGACATTTACCTAATCTCTGTGGTGCGTATGATGCGCACAAACGTTACTGCCGATTTCGGACACGAAAGTATCAACTCAGAACAGTACCACTGTTAAAAAAACAAATAAAGTGTCTTGTGTACATAATTTGAAGCTGGATATGGACTGAAAATTTTCAAAATGGCCACTCTAAGCTCTGTGGCATTAGGTACGCGCGAGCAGTCTATAAGCGGGGCAGCATAAAAACACATGCGGGGGTGAATGATTTTGACTACTTGGTGTTCTGTAGCGAGAACCTAATTCTAAGTACACGGCTGCTTTTGTATTCCGCGCCCTTCTAAACCCACCAACGGTGGCCCTAAACCAGACAGGCGCATCCGTCCGTGCCGAATAGCGCAAAGCCAAATCCGCTTAGCTATCATAAAAAATTATATTGCGTGAGAAATAAACTTTTTCTAAGCGGGTGTCCTGATGGCACGACATTACGGTTCAAAGCTCTTATTTCGTAAGCAGCCGCCTAGAGAATTGGACGTCCTGTGTAGTTTACAGAAGCATTTTATTAGGGGGAAAGCTTTAGGTGCTTTATCAAATGCAGAATTGAGCCATGGCGTTTGCGATTAATGACGTAGGGGGCACTACGACTCATGCAAAAAAAAAATCACTTGAGGTGTCACTGTAAGATTTCATCATAATGTTACATGCCGGCAAAACTTGTGGCATCATGGCGTCACTGTGACGTAACGTCACATGATATCATCAGATGACACTATAGCTTGGTCCAAGATAAACCAATCACAGAAACAGTGCAAAGCCAGGTGACGTGCCTGCGGTCCTGTAAGGAGCGAAAAACCACATTTCGTGTGGAAAGCTTTTGGAAGTGGGCACACCAGACTAATGCAGAAGAAATATATGACATTCATCTTCATGTTGTCTTAGATAAATGCGTTATAGGAACACCTGTGAGTTCTAGAGTGGTTTTTTTTTTCGTACAGTATGAGCTTGAAACAAGATTATTGTAAATTGATGGTACGGAATATATTCGCGATATCGCCTTCAAAGTGTCGTATTTTGATAGACATTAAAATACAAGGTGTTTCAATAAATGTGTTCGAAGTCCTCAAAAATAAGCACAACGCGACATTGGCTCGCTCCCTTCACAATTGCCTTTTTTTCTAGTGAAACACGTCTTATGGTAGACATCAGATTGGACAGTAGTCAAGAAAGATTGATTAACCTTTAATAATAATAATAATAATAATAATAATAATAATAATAATAATAATAATAATAATAATAATAATAATAATAATAATAATAATGATAATAATAATAATCAGCCTGACTACGTCCACTGCAGGACAATGGCCTCTACTATGTTTCGCCAATCGACTCGGTCCTGTGTTTGCTGCTGCCACTTCATACCCGCAAACTTCCTAATCTCATTTGATCACCTAACTTTCTGTTTCTCCCTAACCCGCTTGCCTTCTCTGGGAATTCAATCAGTTATCCTTTATGACCAGTGGTTATCCTGCCTAGGCGCTACATGCCCAGCCCATTCATTCATTTCTTCTTCGCCATCGCTGCATCCTGCTTTTTTAATAACTGGACCTTATTGGTAATCTCAAATGAGAAGACTGAAGTTCTTCGTGCGAAAAAACAATTGAAGTTTTTAAATATAGGAAAACGTGGCATCTAATAATTATTGTGGAGTAACAAAATTCAACGGTAGTACCAAAACAGAAGCATCGATGGGTGCAACAAGCACAACCAGAACGACGTCACTGTTAAAGGCAACGAGGCCCCGCCACGGGGGTCTAGTGGCTGAGGTACTCGGCTGCTGACCCGCAGGTTGCGGGATCGAATCCCGGCTATGGCGGCTGCATTTTCGATGGAGGCGGAAATGTTGTAGGCCCGTGGGCTCAGTTTTGAGTCTACGCTAAGCAAACCCAGAGGGTCGAAATTTCCGGAGCCCTCCACTACGGCGTCTCTCATAATCATATCGTGGTTTCGGGTCGTTAATTCCCACAAATCATCATTCAAGACAACGATTACAGTGGTGCAGTTCTTCCGCGTTAATTCACGTATGTTCGCCATGCGTGCTATAATTGCAAGTGCAGCTCGCACACACAGCGAAGTCGAATAATGGTTGAAATGAGAACGCTCACTTATTCTGGACGTGTCAGACTAATATGGCAGTTGCGCTCTTTCGCGCTTCGGTTCCAGTTTTGCCGGTGAATAGGGTGCGACTAGCAGACGCTTTTTTCAGATTCTCAATGCCGAAATGGGTTCGGAGGAAGTAGTTCAATTCTATCATTTGGCATAACCGCCCAACGTCCCTAATAAGTCAATAAATTTAGCTTCATTATATGACCTCAAAGGACGTTTTTAGCCATCTCAAGATGCATGCGCCTATATACAGAAGACGTTACTGTAGGAAAGCAGCGAAAGATAATCGCAATCCCCTTATCTCTGAGGATTGTGGTCATATTTTTTAAACAACCAGCATGTACATGCATCATAAAATTACGTAGCAAGTTCTGGGTCAGTGATTGGTTGAGACTTCACTTGTAATTTTAAAGGCGCATCTGAACCGGTTTTCTTGTAGTACAAAATCAGCAGCGGCGATTTAAGGCTGATGTACTTCCACAGCGTGCGCAGATTCGTAATAACGGCATCTCGTCGATGACTATTATATACCCTATAACGTATGGCATGCCAAGGTAAAAAGCCAAGCATAAACTTTCGCGTTGGATCGCTTCAGACGCCGCCAGCATGGTTGTAGAAAGTAACTTTGCCTGGTTAGCCCTTCTGGTATATAAAAGCTACACGTCGGGTCAATTCCGTGCAACGGCCGCTATAGTTGTTGTTTGCGTCGTAGTCTTCACTGCAAATTCCATGCTAGCGCCAGTGCGCCTTACAGGTGGATGTTGGCACATTTTTATTGAACACAATGAGTAACTAGGCTCATGCTTGAGAGCAGGAGCCAATAATTAATGTTTCTTGTAGTTGATTCGAAGCGTCGTCGCACATCGAAGGCTTAATAACGACTGTGAACCAGTTGAGCGACTGCAGTATATTATAATACATACGTATGATAGATCAAATAAGAGTCTTGGCCACTACTGCCAGTGATCCACACTTCGCCACTGACTCTCCCTGCGCGATTCATTTTTTGGCTGCATATTCGTGATGAAAAGACGAATGCGCCTCTCATAGGCTGAGTTGTATCAAGACATTAAACCCAATAAAAGAACCAACCAACCAGCATGCCGATAGATTCATACATTACGCAAGTGTGAGCACGTTACGTTGCTTAGATGCTGTGCGATGTAATACATGGATACAATTTAGACGATTCAATGCGAATATGGTGCATCTTATACTTATAATGGGCTGGTGGCATACTGTAGTGGGGAATTCAGTACAGCAAAGGCTTACAATGCATTTCGACGGGAAACATGCTCCAACAACCCGACCATCGCAACGCTTCGCTCTCAAAGTTTAGCCCAGTCGTCAAATATCAGCTCGCCCCAGATGAAGCTTACGAATTTGTAGCTGTAAGTTAATAAAAATATCCTACTTAAGTTGTATATTCCACTGCATTCTAACACGCTCTGAGTGATTGGAACGATGGAGAACTTTTTCTTCGCAGTCAGAGAAAGTGTGACCAAGGGAAACGTGCAGAGGTTCGTCAAAGCAATCGGGCACCCCGTCATGTAATACATCAGCGCGTTTTCTTTCGTAAACAAACAAGGCGGGCAGATGTCGCAATGCTACTGTGTATGCTGCCGCCAGTTAGGAAAGGGGATTGCTTAACATGATTGTAGCGAAAAAGTATCAGCGCAACACACAAGAGTTCGCCGTAGGTTTTAATGCTCCTTCTCAGTGGATAAGTTACGGCTGCGCTGCTGAACAAGTTCCCATCGACTAGTAACTCTCATTGATTTGTGGGGTTTAACGTCCCAAAATCAAAATTTGATTATGAGAGATGCCGTAGTGGAGGGCTCCGGAAGTTTGACCACCTGGGGTTGTTTAACGTGCACCGAAATCTGAGTACACGGGCCTACTAGTGACTCTCACGAAGCAAATTCACGTTCAATGCGCTGTGTTGGTAACGTGTAGGGCCGATGACGGGAAGGGGAAGGCAAAGCAAGTGATTGCATCCGTGGTTTGATTTGAGGCTGACTGATTAAGCTGATTCTTTTTTGTAGTTACCGTGTTCTATCATGCCATCACCATAAAGCTGATTATAGCCACTGCGATTGACGGCATGCTATGATAGTAGCTGCAGGAGCCATGTGACCAGACCACAGGCAGATTGTGGTCGGGCTATCTCGTCGAAGGCGAGAGTGCAGTGTTCTGAGATATGCACACCAAGCTGTTCATTTTCTCAGCCGAATAGAACGTCGCACAGCCATACCACTGTGAACTTCTCGAGACCGATCTGCCGAAGCGGCAATATAACGTCAAAACAAGCCACAAAGTTTTAAGAGCACAAAATTTGACTGGACATGCAATTACTGCAAGAGGGAGTGATCGGTCAGTAGAGGCTGCGTGGAACTGCAAGGAACCATGATTTGCTTGCACGCTATTGTCACGCGCACCTATTTTTTCATTGTCGGACTATTCATTGAATTTTGAACGAATGTCAGAGTTACGCAATATGGCGTTAACAGAGAAGCGGCGTGAATTTCGCTTCGCACGACAGCGGTTGGTGCCCCGGCCGCCGGGCTTAGAGGGGAAAAGATAGGGATCATAGTCTGAACAGCGACTAGGTGGCAGACAGATAGCGTTATGAAACGTTTCCAACGTTAAGAAGCGCGCTAAACGTGTTTTGGAGCTCGCGAAACGTGTGGGAAATGATTAGAAGCAGGTGCGGCAGGGGACATTCCTGACGCCCTCGCACTGGGACCGCACTAGTTCGCTCAAGCTGGGAGGGCAGCCAACGAAATTAACGTGCTCACGACGATAAGCGAGCCGAGATAATAACGTCATATATAAGAAAGGCGAAGCGGGAGCCCTCGCCATGCAGGATGCTGCGTATACAAACGTGAATTATCTACGCCAGGCCATGGCTAAACCGTGCTGCACATTCTCTACAAAGCTGCTCTTTTAGCCGCTGCAGCGCCCTGGCCAGAGTTTGCTCATTAGGTGATACGCAGCAAAATACCAACTACGCACTGCTAAAGCAACTCACATTATTATATGAAATCAGACGTGCAATATCTGAAGATTTTACAAAAGCTGTTAAAACAGGTGTGGAAATCGACGCCTATGCATAACCTATATACACAGAATGAGGTCTTCAGAGCATATGTGGTTTCATCTACGTGCCCTGACCGGTACATTGTTTTCTATCCGGCATGACGGAAGGTTCCTTCAGGAATCGAAAAAGACCTCAGAGCGAACTATTCGAAATTTCATTGTTAATAAACAAGACGCACAAAAAAAACAGATGACAGAAATGGACGAGTGCTTTTCAATGTCCATGTTATCATCTGTTTTACTTTGCGCTTGTACTTTCTTCTAAAAGCTCCTTTTTCAAAGCTCTAAAAGTTTTATGGCTTTTTTATGGCAAAAACATAGGCGTGCAGCTTGTGGTCCACCCCAGATCAACCACAGACTATGCAGTTAACGGGTTTTATACAGTATCTACGAGTATATTATGACTGCTGCGGATACTTTCTTGGCGCAACTGATTTTGTTTTTGGGGGGCACGTTATTTCTGCTGATTTTGTCTTGGCAGAAAGCACGAGTGGATAAACTTCGACGATGCCAAGAGTATTGCTGAGAAGATGGAAGCTGTTCGCAACGAATCGGTGGCTGGAATCATGCTGTGGGACATCAGCATCGACGACTTCAAAGGAGCATGCGGGCCCGTTCACCCAATCGTGGCCGCTGTGTACACCAGCCTCATGACACCCGGGAAGATGGCTGAACAGCCACCACTCACCGTCGCGCAGGAGGCTGAGAACAGCACTGCTGACCACCCTTGACTTTCTCGCCTACAACGTGTTTCTACACTTGTTGCTGCTGTAGACGGCAACAAAAAAAAAGTGAAGGAAAGTGGGTATCACGCAGCTTTAAGTGAAGTGGAAGGGACAGCTCTTTTTTTCTCTCTCTCTTTTTTCCCCACTTGGAGGGACTGTTTTTTTTCCCTCTTTTTTCCCAGTCGGAGTGGCTGCTTTTTTTCTCTTCTTTTCTTCATTTGAAGGGGTTCTTTGGATTTCATCAAATAAAGTGTCCTTTTCTGAGTTTGCTGTCAAATAATTAGCGCATGCTCAGCTGTTGCCTTCAATTGTCATGAGTGCGACCAATCAATTTTCTGGATGTTAAGGTGGTCGTACGTCAATGGAATCAAAACATAAGTCGTACGCACCAAGTGCTTGAAGCGCTTCAGCATATGCGATGCTCTAGAATGTATTTGGATCTGGAATCCTATATATGCGGTTCTTTGTGTTGTAGTATTGATTCAAGACGCAGACAGACGCTTGATCGGTGGCACTCACCTTGAAACGATGCAGAAAGATATCCATGTTCTTGTATTTAGGTCAGGCGTGCATGTCTCTCCTCGTCAAACGTTTCAAATTTACATGTGTTTTACACACACACACACACACACACACACACACACACACACACACACACACACACACACACACACACACACACACCACACACACACACACACACACACACACACACACACACACACACACACACACCACACACACACACACACACACACACACACACACACACACACACACACACACACACAACACACACACACACACACACACACACACACACACACACACACACACACACACACACACACACACACACACACACACACACACACACACACACACACACACACACACACACACACACACACACACACACACACACACACACACACACACACACACACACACACACACACACACACACACACACACACACACACACACACACACACACACACACACACACACACACACACACACACACACACACACACACACACACATATATATATATATATATATATATATATATATATATATATATATATATATATATATCCAGGCACACATACCTCACGCACGAACATGCATTGGATGCACGAAGGTTGGTTTATAACCCCCTCCTCTTTAAAAAAAAGTTGCCTACATCTCTGCCATAAACCTACGTTGTTCATTTAAGCACGAGTACAGCGGCAATCTTGTTTATTGTGCATCTCTCGCAGAAACGGGCATAAAATAAATAACTCGCCGCCATACAGCCGCACAAGATGCAAGTTCACACAATTGTAAGACTAACCAGAGGCAAGCCAATAGTGCGGCTCCTGCGTAAGACGATAAGCTACTTTGCATCCATCAAGTGTGGTCGCTCAATATAAAATGTTGAGCGACAAATTCGCGCTGTACCATTTTTCAATTTCATGTTGAGGAATGCTCCAGCGCAATACTGCGGGAGCACTCCTATCATGAAGGCGCATGGTGGGCATAGCATATGGATTGAACCTAGCATTTTGATTTTCTTGGTGCCTAGCCGCGGTGGTCTAGTGGCTAGGGTACTCGGCTGCTGACCCGCAGGTCGCGGGTTCGAATCCCGGCTGCGGCGGCTAGATTTCCGTTGGAGGAGGCCCGTGTGCTCAGATTTGGGTGCACGTTAGAGAACCCTAGGTGGTCGAAATTTCATGAGCCCTCCACTACGGCGTCTCTCATAATCATATGGTAGTTTTAGGACGTGAAACCCCACATATCAATCAGAGTTTTTTTAGTGGAGTACATCGCAATGCGCTGCGCCTCTCGGGTGGGCGTGTTCGGGCTACCACAAATTTACAGTTTATCTAGTCCAAGTATTGAGGTTCAAGAACTTCTGCTTAGCTTTTTCTGAATATTTAGGCACTAAAAGGCGTTGTGTTATTTAGCTCTAAAATGTTCCAGACAACCAGAGTACAGACGTAATGCCATTATTAGGGGTATGCAGACCCCAATGGCGAGTGGTATATATTTTAACGTTCGTAGACGCCTTTTCTAACGCAGGACGACGTTCCAACCATATCGAAAACAAACGTGTTGTTCTTAAAGCAAAAGTGAGACCTAAAATGGGATGTACCGTTACCAGATATGTACCACTTCACTCACTCACCCCGAATGGCCAACTCCGTATTCATCTATGAGATAATAAATGTCTTGGTTTAAATGGGATTGTTGCATTCGAGAGCGAAAGCTAAATACAGGAGATAATAGTTAAAGTGCACTGGGGTTCAAGACTTGATAATTTCTCAGTAATGTTGCTCAGAATTGTTAAGTTATTGAAAACGACGTAGTCTAAAAATCCGTAAATATACACCTAAAGTACAAAACATTTATCTTTAAACAGCGTCTGTTAGGGCAGGGGTCGGCAACCTGTTCAGTCAAAGAGCTACGTTTGCATGAAGCTGACACATCAGGGGCTTTACGACAAAAAAAGGTGTTTGGGAGGTTGTAACTTTGGAGGCAATACGACAAAATTTGGCTATTTGACATGGTGCAAAACTGAAATAAATATCATGTTTATTTTTTGCATGCATGAAACAAGGTTACGATTCATAAACATAGGTTGCAAGCAAAAACCTCGTTTGAGGTAAAAACTGTCATGCTTGCCTTCATATAGGAAGTGACAAGAGAAGATGGGGGAGCTGGCGTTCTCACATCGGCTGCATAAAACTGCCTCGTGGGCCGCATGGCTCTCGCAGGTTGCCTATCCTTGTATTATAACATTTAAAGGAAACTAGTTAAAATTCCGCAAGGACTGCGCGGAACGCGCAGCACAGTCACAGTGAAAGCTGAAGGGTGGAGTTTTTAGAGCCTTTTCTAAACACTTTAGGTAACTGCCACAAGCACATTTGCAGGGTATCCATTACGTCATAAATAGTCTTACTTTTTGTGCAGCAAGCCCGCACTCTTTGCTTTGCTTTTCTTTGCTTTCCTAGATAGATGGCAAGTACCCACTTTGGGGGATTGGTCAAGAATGGAACGTAGAGACTGTTAAATGTTATTTTAAGTAAGCTTTGAAATTTTAAACCAAAATAAAGAAATCAAATCAATACAAGGTGAAATATACTATGCTATCCTTCGTCATTTTTCTGAAAAGCGTGATATCCGCTGCACAGTTGCAAGAAATTTTTATCAAGTTTTTTATGCAGTCCCACACGACCGACGAAGAATTACGCCTGATGTGGGTATGCACCACAGTTAATAGATAAAGAAGAACCAGCTTTTGTAGTTGGTTAGAACAATGGACGACTTTCTCACTACGCAACTCTCGTTGTTTGACGCCTGGTTACTCCTTTGCTGTTCTAAAACGCTTTATTACACATACTAACAATATTCCTTTCCCGATATCAAGCCTGCCTAAGGCAAGTTTGCAACAGAGTTTGAAGCACCGGCGTGGCTGTGCGGTAAAATACTGGGCTGGCTCACAGGGGACCCAGTTTTGATTACCGCTGTGTTTCTGGTGTTATTATTTACAAAGTTTTTTTTTTCGTGTGATAGTGGTTACGGACCACACCCGCGATGCAGACAAGTACAATGTACGTGACTCTTCTAGTGATCTCATAACACCTTTCACTGTAATAATAGAGCTCTTAATAAAAATACTGCTTTTTAACAATAATATAGTTTTTGTTTACCCGAAAGTGTTTTATAGACCAGGTGCAGCATGATTGACGCGTGAAATTCCGGTCGTAAAAGCGACGTCGGAAATAGGACACATGGGGAAGCTCAAAGAAGATCATTAAGCGTTGCCGAGTTAACCGACCGGGTTATCAATACAATGGACGACATTTGCTTAGGTGATACACGCGACAACGCACCCGTATACACAAGCCTTGCCATTCCTTGAAACTGCTTTAAAAAAGAAAGACCTGTGCAGGCGTCAAGTATGACTATGGGTGGCGGTATCAGATGCGATTTTTTGTGGCAGAAACGTAGAATAACACCAATATTCACACCGTGTGAATTGTGCAGCATCTGGTCGAGGTAAACCTTTACACTCACAGCAAAGGGGATCAGCCATAATTCATTGTCATCATCAGCCACAGCATGAAGAAACTGTTGAGATTACACCGGCGTGTGTATTACTTTACCGACGAGTAGTAGGCACTTCTCTAATTCCCAAATGTTATATTCTGGTGGCGTGAGCAACTGCGCTTGCAGTAGGCGCACCCTCGGAGAGATTACAGCAGCTTTTGTCACGCGCACCTTGTCTGGCGTCTCTGTTGTGATGAGAAGATGTAATAAACTTTATTTGGTCCTGAAAAACCTCTATCAGAAACCAACCGGAAGGGGGGGTCTGCCGCAGTTGCTGGCCGCGCCCACGCCGGTACTGGAAGAAGCGTTCATCGTGAAGAAAGCGTGGCAAGCCGATGAGAACGCGATACTAACTGTGCCTGGCAACGGTATCTTGTTAGGACACCACAAAAGTATTTCCGGTATCCTAACTTCCACATTGTGTCTGTGTTTGCACGCCTCAATCGTCTATGTATGAGAAATACGTGCCAACTAGCTTTGCTTTATGTTATTCTAAGCTATCATGTTCCACTCTTAAACCTTAGAGGACAATTATTAGAAAAATATTTATTCCGGACCCCGCTAAGAATTTAAGCTCGTCATGTTAAGCCCTTCATTGTAAATCGGCACGCGTATTGCTCAATTTCGTGAAAGAAAAGGACTTTAATGAGATACCCCACCTGGGAATTACAACTCCAACATCACGACTTTAGAGCAAATGAGTAAGAAGCGCTGACCACTATACCACAAACGTGCCCAGAATGTTAGGCGACAACTCTTAATTAACGTTCTCAGTTTGACAGCGATGGCACCGCGTTATAGCAAAAGTTAAGAAGCTGCGGTGAAGCAAGGTGCTGTGCAGAAGCACTTCGGGAACGTCTCACTTTGGAGCCCGTTAGGAACTGCTCCTCTCGCACTCATGGACATGA